AGCTAAATGAAAATTTTACGCTCCCTTTTGTAAACGAGAGGTTGTGTTGTGAGCTATGTGCTTTTAATTAACGAATTTATCGATGCCTTTCGTTCTGTCGTGTCGTGATTTCAAGAGTATTTTTCATCCACTGCTAATAGAATAAATTTCCGTGCACAAGCTCAGAGGTTGTGGCTGGACCGCGTCTCTGGATCCGCCAAGGTAATGAATTGCAGTTTTTTCAGTGACTATCGTGGTTGATACCGAGATATCCCGCAAGTGTGTATTAAAAGTCTTATTCGAAAAATTAATAATCCAAAAACAGTGTCAGAAGACAAATAAAATAGAAAATAGGACATTTTTATTACAAATTAGAATTGGTATACTTTCCATAATTTGAAAAACAAAGTGTATTGGTTTGTATGACGTACACTGGAAAGAATAGCACAACTTATTGATAAGTATAATCGTATTAATGTGTCAGTCAAGGCAGATTCTATGTAGAAATATTGTCATGGCAATGAAGGAGGTGTTTTAAGCGAAATATTGACTGTCAATACGCAGTGAGTTATATCATAAATGACATTCTTAAAGAATGACATAGTATGTTTCAAATGATACCTGTGTGAAGTCAATGTTGACTTTGAGGAAACTAGTGAGACAAGTTAGGCTACATAACGAAAATCTTGCTATCTTAAGGAAAGTTGTTTGAGACTACAATTATCAATTTCTGTAGTTTTCTTGGTTCACTTCACACCAAAGCTTCTTAAAGCAGACTGTATTTAAAAACCACCGGAATAATTTCCTTTCTAAATTATGTTACACTAGGCTTTACTGCATCTTGCTTGGTATGCATTGTAATTCATAATGAGTTCATAGCGCTGCTTCAAAGACATCACGAAACTTGAACCCAAACTTTCGGCACCTAAATTTGGTACAGAAATGAATACTTTTAGTTCATGTTCACATTTGTAACTTTTATAGAGCTGTGAAAGGTCTCAAGTATGTCAATAAAACTAATACATCGAAAAACGATTGGGAACAGCAATGTTTTGTGTGTATAACAAGAAACAAAATATCACAACAAACAAAATAGGCAATTGTGCTAAGAAATGTACTATACTTGATGCTCTCTCTATACTTGATCCTCCTTTGTCCACTGTTTCCAAAAATTATAATAATTAATATAGTTATTTCCTGACAGTCTTCAGTGCCACTTACACTGTTAGAACATTCATTTCGATAGAGGCACGGCGCAAGCGCCTGATGAAACTGATCGCTTTTCCGCGCGGCGCGGCGTGTGGGTGTCTACAGGCTGTGAAGTTTTAGCAGTCGCAGAATTCTTATAACCAACGTAGTACATCACGCGGAATCTCAAGTTCCATCAAGCTTCAAACTGAAGGAAGCAGTACCCGCCGCCGCCGCCGCCGCCCATTGTAACGCACTGAGGACAGGGCCTTGATGTTCCGCAGTGAAACTGACTGACGCGAGGTCATCGCTTAGGTCCCCCTCGTTTCCTGCACCTCAGGGGAGACGTCTTTGATTATGACCCTTGGGTGACGATATTTTTTCCTTGTGAAAATAATGATCGTGGTCGTGGAAATAGAAATAAAGGTGGCCGTGGAAATATAAATAAAGATAGACGTGGAAATAGAAATAAAGGTGGTCGTGGAAATAGAAATAAAGGTGGTCGTGGAAATAGGAATAAAAGGTAGATTTTAGGAATGGAAATAAAAGTGGTCGATGGAAATGGAAGAATAATGGCAGAAGTGAAGGGATGTTCGCTTTCAACACGAACGTAACTCTAGAATAACCTAACTGCTGGAAGAAAATATAACTGAGTGTTGTTGGAAACCACATTTTTGTCGTTAAACCTTCATTGACTCTAAGCGTTACCTGACCGAAATATAACACGTGACGATTTACTTCATATGTTTTTATAAACTCATCTCTCATTGGAATGTAGAAAAATATGTTTTATTAACCTGTTAATAAATAATTGAAAAATAAGAATGGTACAGCTAGTGGTGTTATTATTTGCAACATTTAAGATCGAAACCTACGCTAATGAAAAATCATTCACTTTCCTTCCCCATGACAGAAATTGATTTAACTGAAACTGTCGACATCGAACAACGGTCTAATCGACCCAAAGGTGTCGACCACCTGAGAAAACATTGAAAGAAGGAACTCTTTTGTTTATTTGAAATTCCTTGTATGTAACGTGACTTGGGGATCGCAGGTGGCGGCGGTGTTGGTGGTAGCCGTTGAGGATCCAAAGAGTGGCGTGGCGTGGCGCGGCGCGGCGCTGCGCAGTGCAGTGGCAGGCGCGGCGACGCACCAGGAAAAGCGCAGGAAGAGGCGGTGAGGAATGTGAAAACGCGCGTCTATCACCCGCGCCTCCCTCCACGGCTTCCCTCGCGCTCGTCACGGAAACCTGCTCTCAGGATCAAGGTGCAGCAACGAATCCCAAATTCCGGCTGGGTTTAACTCAGAGCTGCCTCTGTCTCTGCGTCAATGTTGACCGGGAGGTCCTTGGGTTCGAGACCAGACGGTGGCGGATTTTCGCCACTGCTACGTCGAATTTGCCGCTGTCTGGAGGAGAATTTTAGTGACTGACTGCTTTGATCTAATCTGTATTATTTCGATCAATACCAGGCGAATGCTGGAGCAGTCCCCTAACAAAGGGGACGCGGTCCACGCACGATTTTTCCCTCGTCCTATCCCCTCTTACACATACATCCGTACTCTTGCATGCACTCCACTATTTCACCTGTCGAGAGACCAGTGAGGGCTAATTGTTTGTCCCGGCTGTGGTGGTGCCCCGCTGGATGCGATCTTGAAGGAGGATTTTGCGTAAACAGACGTGTAAGTCGGTGTCGGATCTCACTGTCCAGCGAGAAAGGAGTCGCCGACACCTCCCAGGATAAAGCGTACAGTCCCTACAGGACAAACAGCCGTAGCAGTTGACGTGCCCAGAAACATCAATCAAACAATCAAACAAATCCCAAATCAGCAGCTCTTATTCGGGTGATTTTCTACCCGCATATTTTTACGCGCCATGAAATTAAAATCTTTATTTCGGACTCCATGCTTGTGATTGTTGTTGATGGGAAAAAATTACAGCTCTCCACGGAAAAAAAACCCTACCATGGAACCATCGGATTGAAGCTAATTGGCAACTCCCCCCACTCCCTTGAACGATCATAAATTTGACACCGATCTCTTAACCCTGATAACCAACGGTTTTAGTTACCCAGTTTGCTGAAATATTAAACGTCATGTCATTTTGTATATATTACGTACAAATTATTTTCTTTATTTTTCATGAATAAATTAACACTATCTGTTATTGTGTTATGTATTAATGACATTGTTTATATATTTTAATACTTTTTTCTTGCACTTTTGTGAAAATGATTTGTTTCAAAATTCATCATTGATAACCTACCACATTTGGCCGATTTCAATCGAATGTCATTAGATATGCCAATTAAAAATTAATATTTAAGTAGTATTTCTCCTTTTTTGTTATGCGCATGCAGGAAGTGTGTGCAGAACAAACCACCCACGCAACGTGAATGAAAGTAGTGCTCGCCTAAAATCTGCAAGCAAATACTGGGGACGCTGTGTTTTATATAGAGCGCGCTCCTTGTAGCTGCCGGATGATATTATTCATGGCCTACGAATCCGAGCATACATATTCACCACTTCGGAATTTCGCGACTGGCGGTCGACGCCACGAGCACGGTGCCAGTGGGAGCGGGTCTTTTTACCACTCGCCTCCGCCCCTCCACAGTCGCCACGCCCGGATCCTCCTGGCCCCCTCAAACCCTCGCAGCCATTTCTGCTCCATATCGCCTCCGCCTACTCTTCATTTACTCCGCACTTATCCGCTTCAGCTCCTCGGCCTCCCCTCTTCAGCTCCTCGGCCTCCCCTCTTCAGCTCCTCGGCTTCACAGCTTCCGCCCCTCAGCGTCACAGCTTCCGCCCCCAGCGTCACCGCTTCCGCTCCTCGGCGTCACTGCTTCCGCTCCTCGGCGTCACCGCTTCCGCTCCTCGGCTTCACCGCTTCCGCTCCTCGGCTTCACCGCTTTCGCTCCTCGGCTTCACCGCTTCCGCTCCTCGGCTTCACCGCTTCCGCTCCTCGGCTTCACCGCTTCCGCTCCTTGGCGTTACCGCTTGCGCCCCTCAGCGTCACTGCTTCCGCTCCTCGGCGTCACTGCTTCCGCTCCTCGGCGTCACCGCTTCCGCTCCTTGGCGTCACCGCTTCCGCCTCTCAGTGTCACCGCTTCCGCTCCTCGGCGTCACCGCTTCCGCTCCTCATCGCATTGTGCTCATAAACAAAAGCTAGATCGAATTATTTCATTCGACCTTCATTGGGAGGAAGTGAAAACCTTCAAGTCCATGTGTAGGTCGACTCTGAATTTCACATTTTAGCTGGGGAGGAATACGGGCATCACCCGGGATGTAACATTCATTGCACTTCCGAGAATAATGGCAATGGTCCTATACACGCCCGAATGAATCAATCGTTTGAGTGGCTACCCTCTTACGGTTGTTGTGCCTAAACTCATTGCCTGTTTTACGAGGCGAACACACTCCGTAAAACCTGGCGGGTTCGAGAGTACACGTTCTCTGGCGACAGTTCAGAATCTGCCTTCTCTAAGCGTTCAGTATTTGTAGTTATACAACGGATTTATTGACTTCGGAGTGTACGATGCTACTCTTTAGTTGTTGTCTTTTGTACGACCGAGAGTGAAGGCAGTGTCGTAAGTCAACTGAATACATGCTGACAACTGATGCTCACAATCAGTACGTCCAATATTGTAAGATTTTCTGTGTTGCATTTAAAAATGTTGTCAAATTTGTAATATTTGACTTTGTCAAACATTTTGCGATGTTGTTGCTTCACCTCTTAACTGATTTGTGTCAGCGCGTCTCGAGAAACCCGTTCTCGAACGCGGGAAGTGTTTTTAAATTTCGGAGAAGTTGTCATCCAACTCTTCTTGTGCCGTAAGCTGAACGTCAGCAGCTGTCGCCCCGACCTGCCACACCTCGGCCTCCACTCCCTCTGCGCCGTCGTCGCAGCGCCGCCTCCGCCCTGCGGTGCCAACTGACGACGACGACGACGCGAGCATGTCCGGGCAACTTGTTCCAAGTAGCTCAGCCTGAGAAGCGCGCGCGGACGGGGGTTATCGAACGGCGGCTGGCTGGAGGCGCCCCGTGGGGTGGGGTGGGGGCGGTGGCGAAGGCTTTGGTTACGGCGCCCAGGGCAGCAGGGCGTAAGCGGTGGCGAGCTGGTCGGCCGACGCGGTCGCCTCCGGTAATGAGATTCTCTAGCGAGAGGGAGACGTCGGATAGTTAGCAGTTAGTGCATGTTGCAATTTCGGATGATCTCCGAACACAAGGATCGATTCCTGCTTCAACTCCAGGATTATGGAATAGGTTCTTTCTTGTTGCAGGGAAGGGTCAAATACGATTCGTCTATCATTTGCTACTCTTCCGTAATCTTTTCTTTTTTTTACTTTATTAGTAGTAGTTTTATTTTTTGTTTGTTTGCATATATTAATCTCATTTTTATCATTTTTCAATTCTTATATTTAATTTTCTATTTTATTCTCTCTCCCTCTCTTCCTTTCTTTCTGTTTATTTTTCTTTCTTTCTTTCTTTCGATTTCACTCTCATTTCTTTCTCTTGTTCTTACACCGTTTCGTTTTGTTTATGATATAGTTTCTTTGCTTGCCTCTTTCATGCCTTTCATATTTTCGCCCCTTTGGTCAATTAAAAATTGACCTTTAATTGACAGCTAATTGACCTTTTCCTTCCTGAAAAATGAAGTCATGAATTTACCTGTGTTACCGATTCTCCGTCGTCGTTCGTCGTTGAAATGTGGAGAGAAACGGAAAACCAATAGTAAAACGAGATTCTTGAGCGCGAGAAGCTGCAAATTCAGACAGCAGGCTTCTGAACTGGTTCATCAAATTCGCTCCGCCGCCGCCGCCGCCGCTGCGCCGTTTTCGCGCTCCGCCTCAGCTCACTCACAGAGCGGTCGCCGCCTGCGCCCGGAGTGCCTTTCGCCCGCCTTTGTTCTGACGAGTTAATTGGGAACGGTTGCGTGGGGCGAGACGCTTCGCCCTGCGGCGGGACGGGCGGGACGTGGGCGGGGTGGGACGGGGCGGGAACGAGGGCGGAGCGGGCGGGGCGGGCCAAGGCTGCAGGTGGGATGGCAGGGCGTTCGGGGTGATACGCAGACTGCGAATGTGCCCGCGGCTGACGTGACGCAGGACATCTACTCTCGTTCTAGGGTTTGAGTAGCAGAATTTTCGACACTCGCTAGACAGCTAGGTCGAATTCACCAATACAATCCGCCATGGCACCGAACCACAATTGATCGCTGTTGGTTTAAAGAGCATTCTGGATAATTCAAGAAAATGATTTGGCCTCCCAGATCGCCCGACTTGAATCTCATCGATCATGTATGGGACATAATTGAGAGATCAGTTCGTGCCCAAAATCTCGCACCGGCAATACTGAACGCAATAATGGACGGCTACAGGTGCAACATGGCTCAATATTTCTGCATAGGACTTCCAAAGACTTGTTGAGTCCGTGCTTTGTCGAGTTGCTGCACGTTGCAGGACAAAAGGAGGTCCGACACGATATTAGGACACAACCCATGACTTGTCTCCTCAGTGTGCCAATTAATGCTACGTGCGGTGAAAATGACAATGGTTGGAAATACCAATGCTTAATTATTTAAACGATAACTGAGGCCATCAATATAATGATCTTAGAAACGTTCTACATCGTCTACTTCTTCTTTGGTCCTATCTTCCGTCTACGGAAGTTAGGTGACCCATAACGGGTTTTCTTGGGATAAGTTATTCAGGGTGGTTTCCCTTTGCCTTCCCTGATATGATGATGATGATGATGATGATTGGGGGTGAAAGCAGGAACACAATGCAACCATGCCCGAGGCGGGACTCGAACCCGCGATCTTTCGGTACGAGATCGCTACGGCACTACTACCTTAGCGATCTCGGCCACCGTATCGGCTACATCGTCTACTTAAGGAACAGCAATGAAATGAAACACAAAAAACGGAAAAAGGAAAAGGAAATGGGTCCCCAATGAAGTTGTGAACGAGTGTTGCTCTTGTCAGTTCTCCTCGATGCGACATTTCTTTTCAGTTCGTTCCGAGAAACTCTCTTTGTGTTGTGAGTTGTAATGCGAGCAAGAACAGCCAGCCGCTACTGACAGTCTGTGCGCACTCAAAGGCTGGACGCTACCTGTGCGCCCCTTCTGCCACGACGCCGCCTTCACCAACGCCACCGCCGCCTCCACCCCCAGTGCCACCGTTTCCACAGCCACCGCCTCCAGAGCAATCCGCCGCCATCCGCCCAATATTTTGCCGTCGCCTTCGCCGCCACGGCCCTGCTCACACAGTTGCACACCTCTGTCAACCCCTATCGCGTCTGCAACCCTTCTGCCACCATGACGACTCCCGCCTTCTCCTCCGCCATCTACTTCACTATCGCCACTCTGTGATAACCCGTTCAGCTGTCACAGCCTTTAGGCCACCACTTCTGGCGACTTCGACTCCAGCAACGTCGATATTTCTTTTCCCCTCAGCGCCAAGAGTATTTGTACCGATGCAGAGCTGCTGTCACAGTTTCGAGTTTCATCTTCCTCGTCGTCGTGATCCTTGCGGTCGTTTTAATAATATTACGTTGCGGACAGAGAGAACGAGAGGCTCCAGTGCGGGAGAGCAGTCGCAATCGGGGAAGTTCGATTCTGAAAATCACCAAGCCAATTACTCCGTGCTAAAGGCTTTGCAGCTCTGGAGAGGTGGACGGCAGACATTTAAATGAATTTAAAGAGCACAGCGCCATCCTCTGTCGTGAACACCACTTTAGTTTTTATTCAATTCCGCAAATATTTTTCTTGCATTCAGAAAGCATTGTCTGCCGCTGATGAAGGTGTTTTTTTTCTGGATCTGGTAGATTTTCACGACGAAACAATAAATATTTGACTTGTTTCTTAAAGTAAAATTTCCGTAGGTATTTAACAAACAATAGCATTTAATTTCTAAGTGGCTGAAATACATCTTAATGTGCAAGTTAGGTTAATTATTCAAGAGCGCGTTAGCACGAGTGTATAATTACTAACAAGCCACGTATAATATACAATATTTTATCTTATCTGATCGCCTTTGCAACATTTTGACCTTATTCTCTCGTAAGTAAGCGTAACGATGAATGGTATTATATTGATTGGTGGCCTTAGGGGGGGGGGATATTTGACAATCGCTGTCTTGCGAGAAAATGGAAGATATTGCTGAAAACATTAAAAGTGAATCTGCGAAAGTGATGGTAGATTTACTACCCAGTAAATCTAAAACTATACATCGTAAAGCATACAAGATTAACAAGGAGTGGAAGAGAGAAATATTAAGAACGTATGCGAGGAAGTTATATTAGCTTATTTTCCAGCGAAATTAAGTAATAGTACATTCGTTTCATAGGTTTGTAGGAATGTATATGAAAGTATGTATTATTCATTATTTGATTAACATAATGAGTAAATGTGTTATTTTCATTAATAAATGACTAAGTATGCGTGTGTTTCTACGTCTATTCCTTCAGTTTTCAATAAAATAATGATTTTATGAGCATCACATTGGTACGTTGCCAGCAGCAGTTTTCCTGTTGTTTGTCGTGACAATAGATAGCTACTTAATTACAGTGCTATAATAAAGAGTCAAATCACCGACTCCGGACATATAAGTTAAGTCTACAAAGGCGATCGGATGAGATCAATTTCTTTATTGTGTCTCATGAAAAGACATTGAAGAGCTCTATCAATCTATGATTTTTTGCGAGTCTTCAATAGTCTCAATGTCGATTGGGAATGAATTTCTGTTTCAAAAAATATATGATATCGTCTCAACGACGTCTAATTACTCTTGAAATTCAAAGCCCTTAAAATAAATTAAGATCAACTTATACACGATTGAACTAAGAACTAGTGAACCTAGTTATTTCTGACCTCCGAACGCGGCCTACCTCGAGCAGGAACAAACCAGTGACCTTCTTGTGATAGAAGCCGAAGAAGCCTTGTGTTGCGAAGATTGCAGTGTGGAAATTTCGTCACAATGAAGATTTGCATCCTTAAAAATTTTGCAATGTCCAACACTTACAACGACGAATCGTCAATGCAGGTGTGTACTCGGCTTCTACAAAGACTTGATATTTGCAGGCAGTATTATTCACAGAGGAAGCACAGTCTGTGAACTTCCAACATCTTTTGTGTGTGTTCCAGCGACAATTTAAACACAAAATAAGTACTGTGCTGTGAAATGTTTAGGAAAGACCCAATTTACCCAATTCAAATTCCTTTCACGTATCTGTGTTAATTTTTCTTTGTAAAGAAATGTATTAATTTCTTTTAATAAACGACTTGCATATTTTTGGAGAGTTTGTTTGTGAAAGCAAATGTGGGGGCGCGACTGACAGGCGTTTGCAAGATATACTGAGCGTCTCGCGGAAATTGCTTATTTCTGTTCGAGATTTCGACGAGAACATTGATCTGCTTTCTACGAATTCCTTTAAGGGTCACACAGGATCACAGTTTATCAGTGATCTGCGTTTTTAAAGGCGTGCAATATTTACATAGTACGTAAAATCCACATTTTATTTCTGATTCTTCTTTCTCATTTTTCTCTCTCCTTCACTTCACGATTATTTTAAGTCTAAAACTTTAGTCGTCTTTTAAACTCGTCTAATTCTTATTCCATTGTAGGGAGGACAAGTATTCAGCTTAGGTGGTGATGCTCGGACGCACGGATGTTCGTTTTGAAACAAGTAGCAGTGATACTGTTTAATATTTTGACTCATAAGTTACTCGCATGTACTGCAGAATTTAAAAGTGTTATTGTTCACTTACGTTGGCGACCTTGACAGATATATTCTCAACAGGGGTTTGAATAAAATGGAATACAATATTGGTACACCATTTTGCATCCTGTACACACAAAAATACTAACGTGGAATAAAGATTCTATTTATAAGAATGTAACGAAACTCGTTCACAAGAATACTTAATGGTTTGCCTTTTTGTGCTATTGAAATATTCCTTTTTTTGTTTGAAAAAGTATGTTGTTTATTGAAATGATTTATTCTATGTATACATGTTTATTTTATATACGTATTTATTTTATGTTATTTTATAGATTTATTTGTTTGTTTACTTTGTACAATTTATTTATATTTTTGACAAAGTCGGAGTTACTCAGACTTTTAATTCACTAATATTACTAATTACAAATGAGTGAAGGTTAACTGGAGAACTGTAGTGACTACGATTTTAATAAAGTACATAAATAATTTTCTGTTTTGTAGGTTGCTTTGGACGAGCAGGTTCTGGGTTCAAAGGTGAGTCGTATTAAATGCAGTGACGATGTTCTTGAAATATGTGACGCTTATTGAAACCTTTTAAAATACACCTCTTTTGATATCGGCATTTAATATTAATATAAGTTGAGCAAAATCGTTTACAGAAGTTTCTTACTTTTATGTTTGAAAAGATTTAAAACTTTAAACCGTTTAATTTTTATTATACCTTTTATGATGCCCGATCCCAACGTTCTTGCATGGTTGAGGTGCTTACATGGGTCGACATCCCATCCACTACTGACTGGGCATTCTCTGAAAGCTGACATTGTTAAAAAACGTTCGTCTGCCCAATCTAACTATTAAATGAATCGGCCTCTATTTTTCTAATAACATATTAACATCGTTAATTGATATTAACTTTATTTTCTTTGCAAATTTTTACTTTATGCAATAAATTTCACTGTCATACCATTAAATTAAAATATTATTTCTTTGATCTATAAGGTAATTTGAGTGTCTGTTTTATCTTCTTTTTGCCAAGACCTATTACTTTCACTTGTACGACGTTTTCTGCGACGTTTACTATTTGTGAAGAACTTGTATTCGTCGACCTGGAGGTGCTGAGTGAAATTTCGCCACGAAGAGTTTTGACGTCCACCGGGAATCTTCTGTTCTTCTATTTTGTTGTTAACATTAAAAATTGTTACCCTTTGATCTGAACATTGATTTCCTTAAATAGTAACAAATTATTAAATAACTTCTCGAATGGACATTTCTATTTCGACTTATCAGAATCACCTGAGTAAATGTTCTTGTTCCATAAATAATCTGAACTCACAATTACATCTCCCATATTTAAAGAGTTCTACACGAACGTCCCCTACCGTATCTAAAGAACTGCTACAAATGCTTGCTAACGCGTCGTAATTCCTTCTCACGGGATCGCTACAATGTCTAAAGAACTTTGCAAAATTTACGCTCTTCATGAAAAAGATCACCTCCGTTTTCACTTGTATCACGTTCTATATGTAATTGTACCATTGGCTTTCA